TCAGAAGAGCCCTGCTGGGTCAGACCAGTGAGGGTTCATCTAGTCCAGCATCCCATCTCACACAGGGGCCAACCAGTTCCTCTGGATGGCCAACAATAGGGCAGAGAAACTGAGATGAGCATCAGAAGAGCCCTGCTGGATCAGGCCTGTGGTCCATCCAGTCCAGCCTCCTGTCTCACACAGCGGCCGGCCAGCTCCTCTGGAGGACCAACAGGGCATAGAGGCCAAAGTCATTCACTGATGCTGCCTCCTGGCTAGGGTTGCCAACCTCCAGGTGGTAGCTGGAGGTTTCTTGAAATTAGAAGTGATCTCCAGACTACAGAGATCAGTTCCCCTGAAGTCCCTCCCCTCCCCAAACCTTGCCCTCCCCAGACTCCATCCCCCAAATCTCCAGGAATTTCCCAACCTGGAGCTGGCAACCCTACTCCTTGTGCAGGAGTTTACTGCCTCTGAATGTGGAGGTTCCCTTTAGTCACCATGGCTAGTAGCTACTGACAGACCTGTGCTCCACGAGTCTGTCTAATATAAGAACATAACATATTCAGTATAACCAGGGCCCTTTTTTGGAAGGGGGGGAAGAGGTGCTGGAACTCTCAAGAGGGAAACAAAGTTTTCAATCTGTATACTGAAAACTCACAAACTTTTAAACATTTTCAAAAGAGTTTTGTTGAAGAGGTTCCAGAACTCCGTTCCGGCACATTCCCCCAGAAAAACAGTCCTGACTATAACATAATTACATCAGAACATAAGAGAACCCAATGCTGGATCAGGCCAACGGCCCATCCAGTCCAACACTCTGTCACACAGTGGCCAAAAATACCAGGTGCCATCAGGAGGTCCACCAGTGGGGCCAGGACACTAGAAGCCCTTCCACTTCCCCCCCGGCACAAAAAATACAGAGCATCGCTTGCCCCAGACTGAGAGTTCCTATCTATACCTTCTGGCTAATAGCCACTGATGGACCTCTGCTCTTAACATAAGAACATAAGATAAGCCAATGTTGGATCAGGCCAATGGCCCATCCAGTCCAACACTCTGTATCACACAGTGGCCAGAAATACCAGGTGCCATCAGGAGGTCCAGCAGTGGGGCCAATTAGTATAATTAGGCCAAATTTATGCCACATATTTCAGTGACTTGTACCTCAGAAGCATTCTGTCTAAATATAAATGGGTAGTAGTAGTAGTAGTAGTACTAATTTATTGTGTTGACCATAGGTCATAACAATACAAAAAAACCCCAGTGCATAAAATCCCACATGATGAAACTCCAAGGTAAATACAAATTAAATTAATATCCAACAAGGTCAAATAAATACAGAGCCAAATTAGGTTGTGGCCATTTCCATACAGTTCGATCGAATCGATCTAGCCACCAATGCAAACAAAGCGAACTCTGTTAGAAACATACGGATCTTTATCTGCAAGCAAAAACATAACTTTGTCCATATCTGAAACTCCTTCCTGCAGAGATAAGATACGAGTGATACATTTATTTTGAGGGGGGCAAAAGAAGAGGGCACTTCAAAATGTAATGGGTCAAATCATCTACTTCTCCCGTGCCACACATGCAAAGTCATTAGGGGGCAGGGATCCTTAGAAATCGGACGGTGCAAACCATAGAGGGCATAGCTTGAAATCTTAAGTTGGTAAAGGCCAACCTTAATTTCATGGTTGTTAAAATCTTTAGGTAAGGTGACCTGGTATAGTCTTTTTTAAATAATTTGAAGAAAGGGGCCACTCTAGATTGACTGGCTGCATTGGATCTATTGGAAAAAATATAATTTTCCCGTAGCAATTCATTCGACCCACTGAGGCCGTTTGTAATGATTTTTTCTCCCCCTGAACCATTGCAAAGTTCTGCAAGAACAGCTTGGTCTTTCTGTTCCGGTCGTTCATTCCCTTTCCTCTTGACCTCAGACAGCTGATCTCGAAAACAGGCGTGTTCTCGGTGAAATGTGTCAACATTACAACCAAGGGCCTGCCAAAATGGCATCATTCCTTTCTGACATTTTCGACCTCCTTGTCAAGGTGAGCTGTCTGAGCTCTCGTGCAGTCAGTTAACAAGTTCTCACAGGAGGCCATGCGAGGACCCTCTTCCAGTTGTGCATGATGGCCCCCTTGTAGTCCATCGGACAAAATATGTCACACACACAAGCTGGTCTTGGAAACTGGCTCTTGCAATAACATATACATGTAGAGATTATACTGGAGGAGGTTACCCATGTTAACAGGGACAGTTCCCATTAGGGTTACTGGCAGGGGATGGGGGGGGGCTACAGTTGCCAGATCCAGGCTGGGAAACTCCTGGAGATTTGGGGGATGGAGCCCGGGGAGGTCAGGGACCTCAGGGGGTACAAGGCCACAGAGTCCACCCTCCAAAGCATCCATTTTCTCCCGGGGAACTGATCTCTGCAGTCTGGAGATTAGCTGTAATTTTTTTTGGGGGGTGTCCCCCAGGTCTCACCTGGAGGCTGGCATCCCTAGTCCCCATTAGTCAAATGCATTCCATGCAGATGGGGACAGAAATAAGGGCCTGAATTACGAACAGTCAGACTCAACCTTCGTCTGGAATTAGGTCATATTTACAAGCCAATTAGCTGCACTGAGAAGGAAGCGAATGAGCCAAGCGAGAAACTTTTGCCGAGCGGAACGAACTGCAGGGTAACGGTTTAGCGCGAACACAAAAGAAGGCCGTCCTTCTCCTAGAAAGAAATTCACCATCGAAACAGAGACTGGTGGCACACAAGGCAATGCCATTGTTCTTGATTTCCAAGACTCCATTAGCTGAAGCAGAGAGAGGTGAAGCCAGTCGCTGACAGACAAAAGCAGATGTTGAGTGTTTGTTGTCCTACTTCCAGGGGTCATTTTGTAGAAAAAGAGGTGCAGGAGCTCATTAGCATAACTCTTTAGCATAACTTATTTGAATATGTCACACACCCCTGACATCACCGGAAGTGTGTCAGAAGGCAACACCCACCGCTCAGGCTCCACTGGACTGTTTTGGATTGCTACCTACTGGGGGGGGGGGGGGCATGCAGATCTGTCCTCGCAAGGGACCTGAATAAAACTTGGTCTTAAAGGTGCCACTGGGCTGTTTTGGATTGCTAGCTATGGGGGGGGGACACGCAGATTTGCCCTCACAGAGAAGGGAGAGCTTGCACCTGAAGCCGGGGGGGGGGGCTCTGCAAATTACCTGGCTGCTTCTTGCTCCTCATTGCCCGACTGAGGGCTACTGAGAGCAGGGGGTGGGGCTTGTTGCATGTGCCCACCCCTTGGGCTCCTTACTGCTGGAGCTCTGCTCCTGTGCGCTCCTGCAGGAAATGACCACTGACTACTTCAGTTGTCCTTCTCGGACACAGGGTTTCAGGACAGATGTAGCATCTTACTAAAACTTATTATGGGTACAACTCCGAACCTCTTGCCAGAAACCCAATCTCTTGTACGCTTTCTTTTTTTTAAGCAGTTTGCGTTTCCAGTTGGAATGAAATAGAAAAATCAATGTTTGATGCTTTTGTGAATGCATACATTTCGTAGGAAGTCATTTGTTTAGCAACCATGCAAGTGTCTTA